GTGGGGCTCAGGTAGCCCTCAGGTGGCAGATCGAGAGGAAACTGGTGACAATTCCCAAGAGTGTGACCAAGAAGTACATTCAGGAAGACTTCGAGATCTTTGACTTCACGCTTACCGCGGATGAAGTGAAAACTATTCATGACATGCATTAATGTTTGAAATTAGATTATTATATTATATAAATATTATTTAATTAAAATTTTAATAAAAGATTATTTCAATGTAACAATTGTCTCTATTTTGATGTGCGCTAATTAATTAGAAAAAACTATCTCCTAAATGTTTAATGACAAGTTTTCAAATAGTTTTATTTGTAGAATAATAATCTCAAAAAATGAAAGTGTAATGTAAACCGTATTTTGTACAGTATAGGTAAATCTATATTAAATAGATTAGCTATTTGTAATTCAAGTAGAATTGTGATAAAATAATTAGTAAAAACCGATTATTACTTACTGAATGTTGTGAACTAACTGAATGTAGGCAAGAATTATAAACTCAAAATGTGTACGATATAATGTACTCTAATACACAAACAGTATTATAACTTATTAATATCGTACTTAAAATTTAAAAGTATCGGCAATTAATAGCAAACAACTGGTTTAAAGTGACACTTTGGCTGAGAATCACATCATTACTTAAAATATCATTTTTAATCAAATATACCTGCCATTTGTTCAAGGCTTTTTGTTTTGCTATTTATATACAGAAAACTAATTGAAAAAAGTCATCATTTTATTAACTCAATAGAAACGACAATTCCTTATACAGTATAGATTTATAATGAAAGTCGTTGTGGTTTTGGCACTAACTATGGCAGTCGTGTCGGCAAAAAGTAGGCATTCATTTTAAAACCTTTAAACAAATTATATAAATTACTATTCTATGTATTTTTGTATAATTTATGTGATTAGCGCCGGCTATCAAACTGAACACTGGGTATGAGATGCCGCAGTTAGGTCTGGGCACATGGCAGGCCAGTGGTGACCCCGTCACTCAGGCGGTTAAGGACGCCCTGGAGATCGGGTACAGACATATCGATACCGCCGAAGCTTATAAAAATGAGAAAGAAGTGGGGAAAGGCATTCACGCGCAGATCGGCGCCGGTATTCTCAAACGGGAAGACCTGTTCATCACAACTAAGGTGTGGCCGAACGGCAGTGATCGGAAGAAGGCCCTGCAGACCATCCATAACTCCCTAAACAATCTGAACGTCACTTATTTGGACTTAGTTTTGGTGCACTGGCCTCAAGACAACTACACCGACATCTATAGTGGTCTGGAGGACGCCTTTGACCAGAAGTTAGTCCGATCTATCGGTGTCTCAAACTTCGGTCGAAACGAAATCAATACTCTGAAGAAGACGTGGAAAGTGGTGCCCGCAGTCAACCAAATCAATCTCCACCCGACCCTTAACCAGGACGACACCGTTGCCTATTGTAATGAATT